CCAGATAGAAAGGTAACTGCAAAAAAACATTGCAACTCTTACAGGAAAACCAAGCTTGACACCCGTATTCAAACATCAGATACCCTTGAACAATGATTAGACATAGGAATGGCTGTAGAAAACAGCTTCATCAACAACCATGATCATATAGGTGGTTCTGATGTCAAACAATTTAGGATATTTAACTAAAAGTGCAACTGCAGTGAAACAGTTATTACTCGCTCAGTCTTGTCTGTTTGTCTAGGATTATGGTAAATCACTTCCTTGTTATCTAAAATGCAGATTTCATTCCACTGTATTAATCAAATACAAAAAAATTTACTCAGCACCAAGAAGGGTCTGAACAGCTTCGCTTACGCTCAGATGGTAGCACAGGCCCTCCAAACATTCGAGACAGTCCAACTGCATAGTCACAGATATCAATATATTCCTGAACCTCTCCGACACCCTCAACAGAAATTTTCCCCATCTCCAAAGAAACCTTAAAAACAAACAAACAAAAAAAATCAGTATTAGAAACTTAAATGCATCCCAGTGTACCATCAAATTCAGAAGGTATCAATATCAATTGCTGCTGTAAGCCTACCATGTAGAAATATCTATGCAGAAGTGTCACTTCATATTAGAATCCAATACTGATCACACATTCTCCAGCTTCCACAATTGGTGTTAAGTTAAATCAGATATGAAAAATAGAAAATAAATTAAGCCAAATTGCAAATGAAACCAATTATAATTAATGCTCTTCTTTATTCTTTCATAGGATTTGAGCATGCGACAGTAAGGTGACTTCTTGATCCACATTAGTTTATCTGGTGAAGATGACATTAAGGAGGGAGTGTCACGATTTTGATCCAGTGACAGTGAAGGAATGGTGATATATTTCCAAGTCAGGGTGAGATATGACATAGTCTAAGCTATTCCTTGCTATAATTTTGGTAATAACATTTTGACAATAAGCATGTTACGCAAATGCACTACCACATACTAATTACTTCTGTGATTGAAGAGCAATTGAGTTTACTGACATTGGAAGAAATACAAGCCAATCCACGGCACATGGTGATCCAAAAACAAATCCCTTGAAAAGTAAAGTTGAGGTTATGTGACGACATCATACTCATGTAAGCTCAATGCAGTAACAGGAATGAAGCTCTGGAGTTCCAGATCATCGATGACAAGCAAACATCACTCATCTCAGCCAGAGCAGGTTCAGGAGTTTGAACATGTAACACAAAATACATGAGAGAGATTTGGAGATGCTGTAGTGGACTAAACAATTGACCATGAAACATATCCTACAGAAGCAGGATAATGCAATGTTAATACAAGAGAACAGTAGTACATATATTGGGCAACTCAATGCACATGATAATGCATGCAATTATTATTTTGTTATACTGTATTAAAGGATAGGGATGTTTGGGATAGAAACTTAGTCTGTACCATGTGTCTCCTGGCTTTTCATAGTTATGTGACCTGAATCATGCATTACTTAAGACAGGCTGCCATCTTTTATGTCAGTTTTAATGAAGTCACAGGACAGGTCAGCCTGTTGTCCAAAGCATCAGAAATAGCTGAACACAGACTCCAATGCTCAAGGTAAGAACAGAGGATGGGTGGCAAGGCAGAGGGAGGCATCGTCAATGGGCAGGAAAGGTGTGGGATTTGAGCGGGTGCAGGTGGGGAGGGGAAATGGAAGTGCAAAGCCAGTTGGCAATGCCACAAGGAAGTGTGGGGTAGGACAGAAGCAACATTTTGGGTGGGGTGGGGGGAATGGCACCATCAGGAGGTGGGAAGACAATAAAGGCAGGCAAGGCCTGTTTGCTCGTATTAAAAAAAAAACTTTGGCCCATAGTCCCCGAGTTTCCACAACATGAGCCAGCAGGGTCCCAGTGTCAAATGACGAATGTACACAACAAGTTAAATGATGACAGAACTCAAGCAGGTCCTAAAAATAAACCAACATTAAAGCGAAATAATGTTAAATGGGGCCAACTTCAAACAAGTACTTTACTGCAACTGTGTCCTTGCCACTGGAGCTTTACAAATAAAATTGCAAATTTTAACATGTAGGAGTATGTACCAAAACAAAATCTCTGTTTGTGACTTAGCAATTATTTCATTCACAGCTCCATTTCCTGGAACTACAATGATATAAACAGAATTGGTCCCATTTCGAAAAGCTACTGACTGCTCTTAAAAAATTCACCTACTAATTAGGGTCATGAGGTCAAGGTATCTGGGAAGTCAAACGCCAGCAAGAAATTTAACAGTTTGAGCAGAGAAGAAAAAGAAATACTCTATTACCAATGTATGGGACCATAAAGCTGTGAAAAAATAGAAAATGCTGGAAATATTCAACAAGTTTGTTATCCTCTGTGAGATGGTGCCACTGTTAATCTTCTTTAACTCTGTTTCTCCCTCCTCAGTTACTGCTAGACCCTGCTGAATATCGCTGACATTTTCAGTTTTATTACTCTCCGTGACCCTGATTTACACTATCAACCTAAAATAGTTACCAATAAGAAACAAAAAGAATATGAAGCAGCTGTTCAGGCAGTAAGTCTGCCAAGCACATAATAGTAATACTCAAATGGTTTTGTGATCAGTGAGTATAAGAAGTTCAACTTCACCTCAACAACTTACATATACACTTCACGGTGTCTCTCATGCAATGCAACAGACTTAGAGAACTGTTATGATATGACCTCCATAAAGCCATCAGAGTTGCCAAGAGGCTGAACAAACTATGTCGGAGGCCCAAACCAACAAAATGGATAACTGCCACCTGTGGCAAGGCCTAGACCACATAACGGAATACAGAATGAAGCAAAGCAAGATAGCAGACACTGGCACATTCCTCCCTATGCTCGGTTTGAGCAGAATACCACCAGCGTGACAACGCTTGCCCTGACAACCCCAGACACACCTATTCCCTGTCACCGCTTCAGACATCAGATCAGTCTTCCTGGCAATCAACCCAAGGAAAGCAACAGGCCCGGACGGTGACCCAGCCATGAACTTAGATCTTGTGGACCAGCTAGCGGAGGTATTCACTGACATCTTCAACCTTTCCCTCCTACAAGCTGAAGTCCCCATCTGCTTCAAGAAGACCACCACCATCCCAGTACCTAAGAAATCACATGCAGTGCACCTTAATGAATACTGCCCAGTGGCCCTGACCTCCATAATCCTCATCAAATGACCAACCGTCCATCTCATCCCTAACTCCTTGACCTGACACAACCTGTCCATCTTCTCTCTCACCCATCCGCTCCTCCCACCTCACTGACCAATCCCCACCACTGCCTATCTGCACTCACCTATCACCATCCCACCTACCTTCCCCCGCCCCACCCCTCCTCTCTCTATTTCTGAGTTCCCCTCCCCCTCCCCATTTCTGAAGGAGGGTCCTGACTCGAAACATCAACTTTCCTGCTCCTCTGATGCTGCCTGGCCCGCTGTGCTCCTCCAGCTCCACACTGCGTTATCTTTAATCTATGTCCTTGTTTGCTATGATCTGCCTGTACTACTTGCAAAACAAAGCTTTTCACTGTACTTAGGTACATGTGACTACAATAAATCAAATCAAATGTTTGTTTAATAATCTGCCATATAATAATTATACTCATTTAAAAGCTCTAGAGTCAAACAGTGATTGCAATTGCTTGCAAATATCAAATGCCATGCTAATGATTTGCTTTCTTTAAAAAGAAAAGATTGTTTTGCAATTACGATTTAGCATTGTGATGGTTAAAAGAGGTTAGCAAGATACACACGTTGTCCAGGGCACTGTTCAAAGAGAAAACAGAAGAAATGCTGTTCCAGGGCAACAGAGAGAAGTTGATATGAGGTGCTAACTCCAATGCAAGGATTTAGAAAGCCAGTAAGAAATCAATTATTTATTTACCTAAATTATCTTAGGACTTTATTTAAGTAAATAACTTTATAAACATTATTTAAGTAAATAAATCTCTGAAAGTAATATGGTCAGCAGCTCTTTTCAGCCAATCTATTTAAGGTAATGGAATTTTAAACAGAGGCCATAGCATATAGAATAAATTAATTTGTACTTTCATAAGGCATTTGGAATTTACAGAATTCACTGAAATGACAAAATATTTGTTGGATGCAAGACTTTTGCATAAACTGACATAGCAACATTGCACTATCAATTTTAATGACAAAGAAAATTAGTTAAATACTGAAAAATAATTCACACAATCCATGCTTTCTCTCAACGTCAAACATAAAAATCTCCACCCAATAATACATACCAGATTGCCCAGCACTTTAAGTTTCTTTCTCAAAGCATCTCCAACTTGTCTCACAATTTCTCCTCGTTTTGGTGCTGGAATCTGGACAAGATTTTAAAAAAAAGTTTTGTTTTAAAAAATTGTCTAGCTTCTGGATTTATTTTCCAATTTTAAACAGCCATCAGCTCAGTGAATAAGATGAAGATCAGTTAAAGACTGAAAATAAATATTCACTCTATGCAATAGAACAGATGGAATTACAAAGACAGCTTATATAGCCCCAGTACATTGAACTAACAACTTGATTCTGCTTATCTTTCTAACGGCCTCCAAACTGCTACTCCAAACATATTTAAACAAAATATTTGAGAGTGGTCACCATATCTTTGCTGGGAACAGCCCAAACAGACAAAGATGGTACCCCCACCCCCACCATCTCAAATTTGTATTGGCAACGTACTTATAGCGCCCCCACACTGGGTATTTCCTGGCACAATTCAGTTCCTATTTCAAAAATCAGAGTTCCTGATGGAACCATAAACACTACAAACAATTGTAGGACTACTAAGATCTAAACTCAAACCTTTGGTTTAGGATATCTTGAGAAGATATCAAATACAAATTTATCAGATCACTTATTCTTGAATCCATGTTTAAATCACAGCTTGAAGAGAATTAACACCTTCCCTGCAATTAACTGGAAAATCTTGGCCATCATAATCCAGTCCCTCATGAGAGTAATTCATTATTAAATTGGCAGACACTTTTTAAAAAAGGTTTGTTGCAAAGACATATAATACTTTATCTTATCACAATAAGTATATTTTGCTGTTAAAGTTAGATTTTACCGGACAATGAACACATGGGTTTACGTTTGAAAATTACCACAGGTTCTACTTTCATTCTGTTGGCTGCACAGACTAGAACCACTGGGAATCTAGGCTTCTCATGTTCTGTGGTTTTTACCAGAACTATTTTCAAAACTTTCTCATTCTTCATTGGATCTCTGTATATAGAACTTCACAGACATTTCATCTATGTTGTCAATGTGACTTAATGGGTACTCCTATGACTTTTTCTTTATTCACTCACAGAATAAGGGCATCGCTGGCAAGGCAGCATTTATTGCCCAGAAGGCAGCTAAGAGTCAACCACATTGCTGTGGGTCTGGAGTCATATATAGGCCAGAACAGGTAAGGATGGCAGCTTCTTTCGCTAAAGGTCATTAGTGAACCAGATGGGTTTTTCCCGCAACCAGCAATGGACTCAGTCATCATTAGATTCTTAATTCGAGATATTTATTGAATTCAAATTCCACCACCTGCAGTGGCGGGACTCCAACCTAGGTCCCCACAACATTATCTGGATCTCTTGATTAGCAGTCCTGCGATAATACCACTCGGCCATCGCCTACTGTGACATCTTTGCTGTACTTCGAAGTTGATTGGAAATTGAAAACTTTTCTTTTGGTAGCTTGAGTAAGCTTGGTCTTTTGCCACAACACTAGACATTATCATTCCATAAACCAGTGGCAACAATTAGCTGTTGGTCTAAAAGCTTTGCTGAGGACTGTTTGATTTGGACAATTCCTATACATGTTTCTCAAGATCAAGCCAGTGACGGGCCCACATTCTGATGGCACATCAGGATGTGGGCCTTTGCCATCATCTTCAGGATGGATTCCTCCTCCTTTCAGTTCCATATCAATTTTTCACCAACACAATTTTCTTGTGCAACACAGTTTCTCAACCCAGTTAGCAAATGTTACTACTTTCAGTTTGTGAACAATTGTGTACTTCATTCATTTTGCTGGAGTACACATCTCATTCATAACTGTACATGAACACCAGGACAAATTCGACCCATCCAATTACTACCCCATTAATGATAGAAGGGATCATCAATATAGTGTTATCTAGCAGCATTTGCATAACAATAAGCTGCTCACTGATACTCAGTTTGGGTTTCGTCAGCTCCTGACATCATTGCAGCCTTGGTTCGATTTTGTACAAAACAGCTGGACTCCAGTGTGACACAGTGTGGAGCTGGAGGAACACATTAGGCCAGGCAGCATCAGAGGAGTAGGAAAGTTGACGTTTCGAGTCGGGACCCTTCTTCGGAAATAAGGCCCCCATGCCAATCCACACTGTTATCTCTGAACTCCAGTGTAACTGCCTTTGACAGTGTGACATCAAGGACTCTAGCAAAACCGAAGTCAATGGGAATCGGGGAAGACTCCCCACTGGTTGGAGTCATGCCTGGCACATAGGAAGATGGCTGTGGCTGTTGGAAGTCAGTCTTCTTAGCGTTAGGACATCTCTGCAGGAGTTCTTTTGGATGGTGTCCTAGTCGCAACCATCTTCAGCTACTTCATCAATCATCTTCCCTCCATCGTAAGGTCAGAGGTGAGGATGTTTGCCGATGATTACACAATATTCAGCACCATTCACCACTTCTCAGATACTGAAGCAATTCACGTACAAATGTAGCAACAACTGGACAATATCCCTTCTGGGGTTGATAACTGGCGAGCAGCATTTATGCCACAAAGGTGACGGGCAATTACCATCTCCAACAAGAGAATCTCTTTGAAAATCACCCTTTGACATTCAATGGCGATACCATTGCGGAGTCATCCACTATCAACATCCTGGGGATTAACATTGAGAAGAAACTGGCCATATAAATATAGTGTCCATACAACAACGTAACCTGCAGGAGAACAAAGTTGGACTTTGTACAACTGTAGCGTCTATCTATAGACTGACTGTTCCACTTGAATGCACAAGAATGGCAATTTGTTTTCATACTGTAAAGTTCCATGCAAATAAATAATCCAAGAGCAGGTCAGAGGCCACTAATCCTGCAGCAAATAACTCACCTCCTGACACTCCCAAAACCTGTTCATCATCTATATGGCACAAGCCAGGAGTGGGCATGTCGTAAAAGCTCTCCCATCTCCCTTGCAAAACGGCTGTTATCACTTGCTTGATCCAATACGCTGACTTACTTGAGAAGTGAAATTAGCCTTTTCTGGGGTGAAAAACTGAGGCCAATTACAAATGCAGGAACAGCATTTGTAGCTGAAAACAAGTCTGAGGGCGGGGAGGCAATTTCTATGCCAGAAATATGCTAAAGTATGATTTTTGGCAATGAAAAAGTATGGATCGATTTATATGCCACAGTTCAAGATGACTAATCTGCTAGAATAGTCTTGTCAATAGACTCAGATTTTCAGAGTTGTTTTGCATAATTTCACGAAAAAGCAACAGAAACGTCAGCAGTTAAGCAAGCGTAGGACATAGCTGATTGAGTTTTTTTTTTTTAAGTACTTCTTTTTAAATTGAATTATTGATACGTAAAACTGAGAAATATCAGATTATCAATAACACCTGATCAGCCAATTTCCTCCATGGAACCTTCCAGTACAAAAACAAAATGCCATTCTTGTGCTTTCAAGTGAAACAGTCAGTTTACAGATTGTTCCACTGTAGTGTCTAAGTCCAACTCTGTTCTCCTTCAGGTTACATAGCTCTGTGGTCAATTGTGGAACTGTTCATTGACAGCTTGTCAGACTAAACTGCCAATTTGTTAATCCAACCTCTTAAGAAAAACATAAAATGTAGCAATCAAATACAAGTCAGCTTCCCCAAAAGTTTGATTACTTAAGAAGCTGAGTCAACAGACCAGGAAGTTTCTTCTTCAACTTGTGTGAAATGAGCTGATGTGAACCAAATGTACACTGCAAACTCCTGTGTCAGAGTGACAAACTAAACATGCCAATCAAGTACTAATGGAAGTGGAAACCCAAATTACCTACCATAGGCAGAATACGGGAACAGGCTAGATAAGCAAACAGACGACTCACTCTCTAGGGCACCTCAGGAAGAGGGCCAAAATAACTGCAATCTACAATGAATGTTCATTTTAAAAAGAAGCCAAAACTCAACAACCAATAGCATTAAGTATTATGATATCGACTGTGCCAGCTCTCACTTTATAAACGAACTTTATGCACTTAGAGCATCTGTTACTACAACAATCCAGCGATGGAAAAACTCATTTCTAAAGTTCAATGTAATTATTTCCAAGCAGTTAACAAATCAAAATGGGACAACAACAAATTGCATTGTCAGATAACCATTCATGTTGAGGAAACTCTAAAAGGAAAAAAAAAAATGATTGGGTAAAGTGTTACCATCAAGAGAGATATCTGACAGATTGATTTAAAATATAAATTTAAGAAGATGAACAGGTAAATAGGGTAGGCCAAGATGACTGAACACACTGTCAGTGAATGATGGACTAAACTGTGAGAACGCAAAGGGGTCCCAAAATGTAAAACCAAAGAAAAATAGGAAGTTTGAGAGATAGGACAGGCTGAGACCATGGATGAATTTGTAATAAGGACAACAGAATTTCAAACTCCTCAATTATGAACTTGATGGTACTCAAGCAGGGCCTACTTCAGAACAAGAGGGAGCTTGAGTTTTTTTTAAGTTGTTATAGACTTCAAAACAGAAGTGATCCAGCTAGGTTTCTGGTCAATAACAATTCCCAGGATGCTGACAGTGGGGGATTTTGATGATAGAGGTACTACTGAACATTAGCAGAAAGAAATAACAGGCACCATGGTCTACTCCCTGTCTCTTTTTTGAAGATAAAGCTTACATCAGCCCATATTTTCCATGCTTCTTTTGCCTTTCGTACAGTCTCTTCATAATCTTCCAAAGTGGCCTGCAATATAGGCAAAACAAATTTACATCACCACTATCTGACATTGCATCTGAATACAACATCAATAATTTAATAGCATCAAGTTTCAAGTCTGAATATTTTTAAAAAAAAATCATCACCTGTCTTACTCTGGCTATTGGTTCATTGTTTGCAGGGCAGTAGGAGGTGACAACCTACAAATAAAGCAGAATGAAATAAGTGAATCAATACAGTCTTTGATAGTCAAAGTCATTGAATCAAAGTTCACCTTTAATGTAATAATCACTCCTAAACAATTCAAACAGAAAGAGGTGCTAAAAAAAAAGTTAGGCAAGGGGTTTTGAGGAACCTTTCAAAAAACCTAGGAAGACAGAAATGCTTTGGGAGATAGTTTCAGACGAGATGAAGGTAAAGTGGTGAATGTAGGTCAATGAATAAAAAAAAACATAGACGGAAGGGAGGGAAATGTGCATATCGACAGGTTTGCTGCTATTGCATATTAGTTTTCTGTGTTCCTTGTATATGTTCAAAGTCTCTCTGAATATCAATATTTAGAAGTTTAATTCCTTTTAGGATACGTTCTTTATTTTTGTCCTTACAACTAAAATGAACAATCTCACACTTCCCCACATTACGCTCTGTCAGTCACCTTGTTGTCCAGTCACATTTAGTTGAGCACCAGTTGCCTTTTGCAAATTATTCAAAATGATTTATTTCAGGAAATCAGCTATATTCATAAAAAGAATGCAGAGGGTGCTATATGTATGAATTTTAAAAGGCACTTAGTGAATTGCTGCAAGGAAACCTGTGAGAAATATTAATGGATGTGTTGTTATCAGGAATGTAGCCACATGTAATACAACATAAAACAAGGAAGAGAATAAATACATGGTTACCAGATTTGGCAGCAATGAAAAATGGTGTGTCATTATTACAGGCTGCAACACAGATGGGAAAATATGGTTTTTCATTTACATATATAATAATTTGGTCATTCAAGATGAATTATATATAAAATTTACAAAAGCAAAATTAGGAGGAACTGTTGTATCTAACAGTATACAAAAGGCTGAAAAGAGGCCCACAGATTATCTGAGTTTGTAAAGTGCTGGCAGCTACTAAGAAATATGAAGTAACACAGTTTGGAAGCTGAAGTAATGAAAAAAAATACCCTGGGTTGTAAAATTCTCAGAGTGAATAGTGAGGGAAAACTAGGTGTACAGCTAGACATTGTTACAATTTTGGTAGAGATGAGCAACTCTTAAATTTAAACTCGTGGTTATTAATTGAACAAATTATGTCGCAACATTTCACATACTTAAACAAAAAAACCATTATGGTACAAAAGATAAACAAATCAACTTATCATCAGTTGTCCCCCAATTCAAGGACATCACCTACTCAGGGTTACAGATTTCTGCTGTGGGTCTTCACGTGACTAAACAGCCCAATTCTGGATCCACAGCACTTTAGGCATATGTGGTAGACTGTCCCATGAGATAGTGGGGTTACTTAATAAACATATTTTAACACAAAAATTTCAACAGGACAAATTTTAGTATTATTTCCAAGGAAGATACTTAAAAAGATCTTGTGAGTTCCTTCATTTCTCCTGGGACTAAACCAAGGTGCACAGCCACCTCAACAATTTCAGTGTTCCCAATATTCTCCGAGACAGGAGACTTTTTTTAAGGGTCCATTTATACCATTTGGCTAACATCTGCTACTGGTCTACTGCTCCTGCCAGATTCTCACTCTATGCTTGTCTGGAAGATGTTTGCACGCTGATCTTCAAAGCCTTTTTCAGAGAAATCGCAGAGATAAAATCCCAAACAAAAAAAAACCTCAGTACAATCTATCCCCACAAAATCATGGCATATCTAGGATGTACTAGATGGATTCAAATTAATGAATTTTACTTCAAAAATCTAAGAGTGTGATTGGTTGGCTTATGATTGCTATTCCTGCTACATCTCCATGCTACAAATTGTTCTTTTCTTTCTACAGTTGGTTTCCTTGCACTTCAGTGCTGAAGAATGCAAGACCAAAAAAGTTTCAATTTCATGTCGCCTTTCAGCAATGTTTTGAGTTCTGAAATAAGACCGCAAAAGTCTGGAAATATTCATTAAATCAGCATACATGCAGACAGAAAAGAGTTAAGGTTTCAGATGAATGATCTTGATCTCAACGATGAACCATTGACTTTTCCTTTCTCCTCACCAGCCTAATTTGACTACTTCAACCATTTTCTAATCTTACTTCTGATTAGCTTGGAATGGTGCCAGAAGGTAGCTGTTTGGCATTTAACCTAGAAGCCACCTCCTACTTTTGCACTAGTCCTGATTAGCCACATGGTCAAATCCTGGAACGGAACTTTGGTGCAGCAACCATCCTAGACAAAAGGAGAGTTACCAAATGAGCCGAAGTGGCACAAACTATCACTAGGATCGGATTAAATCCACCCCACCAACCTCCGGATCCAACGCATCATCCTCCGACACATCCGCCATCTGCAATCCGACCCCACCACCAAAGACATCTTTCCCTCCCCACC